GGCAGCACGAAGGCAAATGGTTAAGTTAGGTGCAAAATAATCGAACATGCAAAAACTCTTAGCTTTATTGCATTGTATATCATGTGTACGCTTATTTTTGTATAAAAACCGCGACCTGCTCTTGCTAATTCGCTCGCCCAAAAATATTATGTGACCTTGGTTTTTATGGTTTTGCAGCCGTACAAAACAATTTTACATAAACCCTAATCCCAACCATAACCCCGAAGCTATCCATAACCCGCGTACCTTAACCCAAACCCTAACATGAGCCCTAAACAATCGAAAAGCGCTTTTTAATCCTGACTCTGCCGGTGCACCCCAGGTTGCTCAGAAAAGCACTTATAAGCGGGCACTCTGATTTCCAGTTCCGACCAGGTTAGGGGCAGCATTTAAAAAGCGCTTATGAGCGCTTTTTTATTCCGGGCACTCCCCCGTTCCGACCAGGTAAGGGGCAGCATTGAAAAACGCTTATAAGCGCTTTATAATTCTTGCCAACCCATGCCATGGGTGATAGGAAAAGTGGTAGAAAAGCGATCATAAGCGCCTATAAGCGCTTTTAAATCCTGACTCTGCCGGTGCACCCCAGGTTGCTCAGAAAAGCACATGAAAGTTCCAACCAGGTTAAGGGGAATTGAGAAATCGCTTATAAGCGCTTTTAAATTCCGGGCACTACCCCGTTCCGACCAGGCTAGGGGCAGCACCGAAAAAGCGCTTATAAGCGCTTATAAGCGCTTTTTAATTCCTGCTCACCTGGCCATGGATGATAGGAAAAGCGGTAAAAGCGGTGAAATAGCGATGAATTAGCCGTAATAAGCGATTTCTAAAAAAACGCTTATAATCGATTATAAGCGGTTATAAGATGTAATATAGCGTTTTCCTGACTCAATTTTAAAAGCGCTTATAAGCGCTTTATTTGCGCTTTACAAACAGCTAAATTGCACCCCATTTATAAGCGTTTATAATCGCTTATAAATGGTTCAAAAAAGCGCCTACGAATCGCTTATCCGGCCAACCGCTTATCCACCCGTTTTTGGCGCCAATCCTACTGGAAAACCGCTTTCAAATCGCTCAGCGACGCTAGTAAGCGCTTAAAAGCGCTTATAAGCGCTTTTAAATTCAAAAAAGCGCTTTTTTGAATTATGACACCAATTATAGTCGATTATAAGCGATTTTTTTTGAACCGTTTATAATCGTAAAAAAAGCGATTGTAAACGGTTTTTAAAAAAAAAGCGCCGAAAAAGCGCTCAATAAGCGATTATCGGCGCCGATCATAAAATATCGTTTATGGAAACTTGCCATTTCTTCAATAATGAAAGCGTTACTCATTAAATTTCCATTGGGCATGCTTCTGTCAATAATATGACAACTGTACTTAATAAGTAATATGATGCTCAAAATAGCAATTATCGAAATATACACCGACAAGAAACCGATGTATTTACAGCGCCGGGCAAAATATTTGATTTTGATTAAACTGCATATATATATTTACCGTCGGGCTTGCTCGTGCCGATCCTCAAGTTCTGGAGAACTAAATTACCCTCTGGTATTTAACTTTAAGTATACTAGTACTACGTTGTTGCTTCCTTCATTGCAAATATAATGTTAGAAATTTTGGGGAGTGAACATTATTTTATTTTAAAATTTCTGTATTTGCAGGTTTTATTACTGCAAGTAGTTAAGTACGTCAATCACGTTTACTTTTATCAGTTTGGATTTAATTAATTTGTCTGATTTTATTAAGAAGCTGACGGACCTATTTGCCGATAAATTGGAGCAATTTAATGCTTCTTAGAGCTTACAGATTTCAACAGGTCCGCTTAGCTTGATAAAATCGCTATTAAACTGTGAACCTGGAATTTTGTTCAAACAATGGTAAAATTGAACATATAACCTGTTCAAATAGTAAACTATATGCTGTATTTGATGACATTGAAGATAGAAATAGTTGGTGAGCATGGATATTGGATTCTGAAAATGTTTACATAATCAACACCTTGGCGTCTTAAATACCTACCAGTACCAACTAGTTTCAATTAAAGTATCAATATAGAATTCTTTATTATTCTCGAAATGAATATTATTCATTCACTCTCGAATAACTTATACCAAGATTCAAGTGCGGTTTTTCATGAACTTGTACCTAAACGACAAGCAACAAATTGAACTGCTTGATATTTACAAAAAATGTTAAGTACTTTTAATTAAATGTATTCAAATTGGCAATAGCTCAAAACCATAATCTTACTTAGCTAGTTTCGATGAACCTTTAAGATAACGTTATCATTTAATGAGGTAACGATATTGTTACTGGCGGATGTATATTAATATTGAGTTGGGAACCCGACACGAGGGCGAAGGACACAATTAAATCGGAAGAGGGCGGTGCTTTCCTAAAATGGTGGACACCAGTGGCGTAACGTTGCCTGTTGGCGCCCCGCTGAAAAAAAGCACCCCCTGTTGGCGTCCCCTGCCCTTTTGGCGCCCCTCTCTAAAATTGGAGAAGTGAAATGATTTTAGAGGATACCCCAGTAAAATTTCTAAAAAAGTGTGTTTATAGAGCAAAACGCGCAGTTTTAGTTTTACTATTATTACAGTATTACCGTAGTTCAGTTTTTCAAAATTGTCCCACATTCGAACGACGATTTGGGGGCCCCTAAGAAAATATAGCACGTGCGCAGCGTTTAAGTTTAACATGGACACGAGGAAACCAAACACCGTCCTAAATAAAAACCCAAAAATTAACGTGTCCCATCAAAAATCTAATTTTAACTTTGTTTTGTCTGTATAAAGGTACAATGTTGACATATACATATTACATAGCCATATAACAAACAGTCCGGCACGTAAAAAATTCCTTCCTAGAATTCCTTAGAATTCCTATTTTATGTATATTTTTAGTATGGTTTTTTGATTTTTAGCATAATTTGTTTAGATAGCTCTATATGTCGCGCGACGACATATAGCACTATGCAAATAGCTTATCTTATAGCGTCATTTGACGCTAGATGACGCTAGATGTCGAATTTCAACTATCGGTAAAGGTCCTAATAACCTTGGCAAGTCGAACACTATTGACAGTTTGTATACAATTCATTACTTTTCTGACTGCTCGGTAAAATTTATGACAGGCTTATGCAACACCCCGTACAGGTCTATGTTTGCATAAATATTCAATAGAAACTCCAACTCAAGTCATTGCCAGTCCGTATGATTACTTATTGGTTTTTCTATAGAATGTTACTCAACGAGATCTGTTAAATTTCACAATGCAACACCATACACGTTGTTTGGAAACATGTTTATTGTTTAAGAGGTCTAGTCATTACTATTACTATACCACAATTATAGTTGCAACTGAAAGACTAAATCTATTCATATCCTTAGAATTAAGGAATAAGAAAGTATATAAGTACATAATATATACCACGGGGTTTTGGGAAATTGAAATGCGATGTCTGAGTTTAATTACGGGGAGCTTTGTCCCTGACTGCTTAAATTGCTCAAATTTAATTATATATTAATTAAAATTGAAGATCGTTTGAATCAATATAATCGTTTTCCAGGAAATTTTAAAAATTAAGGGTTAATTAACTGATCACACGCGGAGTACAATATCACATCTTCTTGACAACTGTTGTCAAGAAGATGTTGTCAAGAAGATGTTGTCAATGTCAACAGTCTTTGTCTGACCGATTGTATAGAATTCCAGCCCAGACAAAGACAGCTGCCAATAAGATGTGACCATAACTAGCTGATCATGTTTCTCAGAAGTTAACCACCTCTCAAGTTTATCACCTCAACTTTGTCTCCCAGTTTCGTTATATATTTCCCATTTCACATCTTTGTTCGGTTTGTTTGAATGAGCATGGCTTTAGTATCAGTATGTGTTTACGGGCCACAGCTGCATTCACAGGGCTCTCACTTAACAATAACTTTTAGCCTAACAATAAGATGGCACAAATAGCGATCAATTGTGATTCAAACTAAATTGAACTTTAGCCGTACTGGGGCCAGAAGGACGTGTTTACAGGGAGATCGTGTCTAGTAAGTCCTAGTACACTCACAACTAAGGTCTATAACGGTTCAAGTTTAGCCATATGGTTCTTTTTCTTATAATTCATATTTAAGACGTGAACTTAACTATAATAAGCTATATGCACGACTCTAATTCCTTGTCAGTCCTCTAGAACTTTACTTTCTTGGGAAGTTCGTGCTAGATTTATAGTACAGTGGGCGTCAAGGGGTATTAAATGTTCATTTTCAAGTATGTGATAATTTAGTCTTGACTTAGCCTTTATATATATTAACTCGTGGCCTTTATATAAGTATAATCGGTATGTGCATACTGCAGGAGCTTTGGAAACATTGTACTAATAGTTTGTCTTTCTTGTTGTTGATTTTTCTGTGATTTTTTTCTCTGTTGTATTAACTTATTAAACCTAGAATGCATTATGCAACCATAATACAAAAGCCAAGGAAAGCATTTCAATTTAGATAAGATATATTTTATAAGATAAGTAGGTTTTAACGATGTATAATTAGAAGAGATTACATGCAGCTGTTAAATAGTTTGCCGTGTTGTGTACAGCTATAACCATGTTGATATATCTACTAACTTACTCACTGTAAAGCTTTAATGTTATTCAGTAATCAGTATTTGTATACAGCTCTAAAAATAGTTCTGTTGTATAGCCTGGTTTAATTTACGTAGCTTCTATTTCACTAACCTATCAATTTACTGAACTAATATTATTTTGATCTGTGGGCCATGGTTTTTGATCTGTGGGCCATGGTTATTGATTGTATCCGATTTTAATCACTATTTGCCCCTTTAGTCCTTGATGCATTGATTTTGTTGGTCAGTTATTGAATTACGACGGTTGAAATGCTCAGCTAAAATTTAAAAAGTGTAAACTCTTCACAGTCTATCACGCTGTTTATTGATGATATTAAATTGAATATAAAGAAACCATAAACAGTCTCCCTAAAATTAACAAAGATACATTTAGCAGGAAGGCAGCAATGTGCTGGATGCAAGGAAAATCTGCAGAAGCTAAATCCCACTGAATTATCCATGGACGCCTATGGAAGTGAGTATTGTGATCCTTATGATTTTATACCACACTTTAAAATAATTATAGAAGTCGATTCTGGCGGTCTATTTTTTAGAAACGTGGTTCTGGGTTTGATTGCACAATAGTGAAAGCTGATTGGTTTATTGCTGTCACGTGTCAAAGTAGTATGCTTCTCCTCCTCGCCAGTATCTAAGTCTATAAAATACAGATATCTACTCTTTTGGTACAAAGGGGGTGCACGCATGGGACATGGTATTCTGTACTTCTTCATACTTTCACGAAAACTATGATTATATACGTTTAAACTTTTCGGACCTTATTTGGGTGAACATTACGTGGACCCTGAGCCTTTCAGCGCTCACGTAATTTCCGAACAAATAAAGTCCAATAATGTTAAAAGATTTGAGTTACAGTTATTATATTATGACGCAACAATCGATTAATCACTTTACAGTTTGGTCAATCATTAACTCAATGTTAAGTTTGTGCCACCTCTTGAGGAGCTTTTTTAATTTGTCTCAGAAAATATGGCCATTTGAAATTCCAACTTTTTGAATCACCCTGTATAATAACATCTTTTTCAGTGAATAGGATATTGATTGTTAGCTGGTTCATTGCAGTGTTCTTAGCAAATATCACAGTCTTTGCAGTGCTCATGTACAAAGTTCAGTTTAAGAAAAAGGTAAGAACAACATTATTATCCCATTTATAAGAAGACACCGCTTTTACTTCATAGGTTACGGTAACCAGGTTACGGTAAACTAGTTACGGTAACTGTGTTACAGTAACTATAGGTTACATTAACTGTGTTACAACTTAACTAAAACCTTATAACACCTTCTTAATTTCTAAATTTCTTGTCAAATACCTGCTCAAACTCTCAAACAATCTAGATTAAACCTCGTAACATTTCAGTCGAGGTGCTTGGTGCTTCTCTCCTCACTTTACTACATGATTTACTCGCTCGCAATAGCCGTCTTCTCCTTTACAACAGGCGCACAGTCTTTTCAAGATGTCTACTGTTCTGCCTTCATGGGGTCTCTCTGTCTTTCTATTATTTTGGGGAATGTCTTCTGCGTGGTGAGCCAGTTTATTATGATTGTGTAATGATTTTGATGATATAGCTTAACCCTTTATTATTTATAATCATTTAGCTGTTTATACGTTTATAGCATCTCACGAAATTGATATCAAGAAAAACGTAATATTCATGAATATTGAATGAAAATAAGCTGTTGCTTATTGATTTATAAGTTGACTTTATAAATTCTTTGAATCGTGTCTTATTGAAATAAATTTAAAACTAATTAATGCACATGTTCAGTTAGGTGTGACGGTTGAAAGATTTGTATATATAGTTTACGCATTGCAGTACAAACGCATCATTAATTCTACAAGGGTAAGTTATTGATGTTCTTTGCCTGGGGACCCCAGGCTATTATATTTATGTTCATAATCATAGAGATTAGGCGGAATGACAGGCTGAGCGCCGCCCAGTAATAATGTTGCCACATTATACTCTTGTTAAGATTCATTAAAATTAATGATCGTAGACTCATCCATTTTAGATTTATTCAGTTTCAACTCTCAAGTCACAGTGCATCGTCCCAAAGAAAACAGTTGAATAATTAAAATCTAGGCATCTTGAAGTTAAACTAAAAAATATTATCTGATATTTGCTTGTATTTGCTTTTAATTGGTCGGCCAAGTCCACCTTTTCTGAACTACATCACCTTTTTCAGATTATGGGATTCACAATAGTGATATTTCTGATAACTATGTGCTATATAGTGGCAGCAACAGTTGGTGCACTAAAATTTCAAAGAGTAACGTTCACTAAAAATAAAACAGTGATCTGCACTGTGGACGAAACATCAGTGACTACTCGGGTAATTATCTTGTAGATATTTAACAGTGCGAATTTAAAAATAGACCAGATGATACCAAACCACACTACTCAATACCTTCAAAAGTGAGAACTGTTCAGCGAAATAAAGAAAACCCTTGAAATTGATTTTAAAACTATCACTTAAAGTAAGAATATAACCGGAAGTATCCCCCAGATTGTATCCTACATATCACTGCTAGTCTACCTGATAGCCTTCTCCTTAGTACCTGCTTTGTGGCTCAGAATACACTTCCTCCGGAACAACATTAAGAAGATATGTTCCTTACAGAACAAGCATCAGAAGCAGCTTCAACTCAGACACGAGAGGTTAAAAGCAGAAAGCCAGTTTCAGCATAAAGCGACAATGTCCCCGCGGGCCATGTTAGCCAGCAAAGTGTAAGAATATTAAATACTTAGTTCTTTTGAAGTTTAGAGTTATTTAGAGTGTTCAACAAAATCTTTTTAATATTCTTTAAGCACTCTGCACAAAAAACAATTCGTGACAAAAACCTTCCAGGGGACTCGGTAGGCTGAAGAATGGCATAGATTATCAAAAATCTCCGGACATCCAGCGGTGCGATAAAACCCCCGCTCCTAGGAGATCTGGAAGAACTGCTTCGAAAGTAAAAAGACCAAAAACAGGCTCCCAAGCTTCCTTTTTGTCATCCACTAAATCCTCTAAGCACACTATCAAGATATTTCTTGTGTCTTTTGTTGTATTAAAGATTCAATATGTGTGCTTTTTCCCTCCCTTTATAAAGGTACTACGTTATTTTTATTATTAATTAATTAACTTAATTTTTATCTTTACTCATTCATTTTCCTTTGGTATAATCTATTTTAGTTTATAATGATTATTGATTAACTTATTGCTATTACTTATAAATTAAGTTAAGAAGTAATTAAAAGTTATTTGCTTGCTGTGATAAGCAAATTGACGGTAGATCTGTTTCAAGACATACTTTTTATTGAGCTTAATTAAACATTTTTATTGCTTACCAATATTAAATTTCTATTGATAATAACATAATCTTATTAATCTCTTTAATTTTTCAGATAATTGCGGATAGTGATAACCTCCCACTAGTAATGATCGTGAGCTTCGCTGATGCTTTGTTTGGATGTTTAATACTGGTGGCAGCCGATGTGGAACTAAAGCAGATATTTTTCAAATTTATCAGAATTCTTTGCATTGAGAAACGGTCAGGCGGTCTTATGCGCGGTAGTCGTTAAACTAATTAATAAAACTTGTAATAACATTTCAGATAATATGGGAATTCATGGGATCATGAACAATAAGATCGATACAAAACTTTTTTAATATTCAGATACGAAAGGTTGAATGTTTTTATTTATTTTAATTTATTGATTTTTATAAAACTTGAGGCAATTCTGGAGAATTTGAACATTTGGCATTTTGACAATTGATGATTGACTTGATAAATGGGTTGTGAAGTTGAATAAATAAAACTCGCGTCGTTTGATTTTTATAAGCAGCAAATGCTATAAGTAACAATATTTATATTGACGCATCCGACATCAAATAATTCACATATATATAATTCATTCAAATGCAAATTGCTAAATCATTAATGAGTACACTGTACAGTCTATAACCTTTATAAAATACCGTTCCTTTCTATATACTAGTTACTCGATACAAATTTAAGGAAAGCATAAGTTTTGTCATTTCATGTGACTTTGTCTATGTTAAGCCTTATAAAGGCAAACAACGACAATCTTTGAGTTCCCAAAAGCTACTCCACATCCGACCTTTCTACCTTTAAAATATATTTCAATTGCCTTTTTGTGGGTTTCCCAGTAATCACTGCAAGCTTCCGTTTTCATTGCTGTGTCAGTGATCATATATATGACAGTAGCAACCTTCTGCTGCAACATCTCTACCAACAAACCGTTTTTCGACGTTGATCTCTTTGCTGATAAAGTGATAAGATCAGTATAATGATTATATTAAAAGATATCGCCCTTGTAATAAAAGGAGGTTCAGAGTGCCGGTAGAGCGCTGGTTGAGCGCCGGCAGAGCGCTGGTTGGGTGCCAATAGGGAGTTATAAATTACACACCATGCCACATGAACAGATCATAGTACTGATAACCTTTTAACACGTTCGTTCAAAATCTCAATTGGTACGAAACAGATTTCTTGAATTGCACGTTCATAAAATTTATGACTTTATTGTTAATTTGTGAATTCACCTCAAAGTCAAATCAATGTCGCACGTATGCTTATATTATTAAATCTACCTACCCAGAGAAGCAACAAACTGAGCAACTTCTTTCTTTGCCCTTTTCCTGGCTTGTTTCGCAAGCTCGTTGCCCCACAGCAAGCTGTAGTCACTCTCCACATGCTTTGTCTTCAGGCACCTGTCCTGGGTATCTGCACAATATACTGAACAGCTGCTCTTGACTTCTTCCGTAGATAGAAAGATAATCAGGACTGAAATAAAAAAGGCTACATTTGTGATTCCATTCATGTCTGATTAGTATTACAACATTTAATGAACTTTAAGAATGCTATTTTTAAGTGGGGCAGATTAAGTGTCTATATAGATTGCATTTAAATCATATTTCATGACAAACAAAGGACCAAGTACAACTACGAGATACAAAAAAAAGAAATTGAAATGGACCAATGTTAGATTTAGACATCTTTTAGATAATGGTGTAATCCTGAAGCGACTGTAAATCACAATGGGTCCAACACAGGCTCAATTGGAATTATTGTTGAAATATTGTAGAGTTAGCTAATCATATACCTACCAGTTATTAGAAAGGAATTTGATGAACTGAATATCATTATCTCTGGAACTTTAAAATGGATAAGTCTAAAATAAGTATTAATCACAGACTGTAGTTAATCGCGGCATGTATGGAATTTGTATGCCTGTTTTCCGCGATAACCGTGCATAACTCTATAACTCTACAACTATAATTTGACCGCGATCATTTAATCCTGAGCCACGAATTAGCCGCAAATTTTTTTATTCTTCTGCCGCGATTTTCTTTTGTCCTAGTTTCTAATAGTAATACATATCAAAATAAACTACATCAGTACTGCCAGTGCCACAAACTACTAAACTCTTACGAAAAGATAAAAATGAAAAGATTCGTGGTAATTCAAAAAATATATCACCGGTTTAAAAGTATAATACTGTGTAATCGGGGTGGGTATTTGAAATCTTATACCAATGTTCACTGTAGCGGAAGTTCTTCAGAGTATTTTTACGATCGTGTGCATGGTATTGGTAGCACAAGATAGTATAATCTAGCGGTAGCGGATCTGGACCCTACGGCCATGACCAGGGCACACAAAAACTACTCATAATACAATTTTACAAAACATTGCATGGGAAACATTCAAATTTAGACCACGTTTTGGAAAATGGTAGCAAGATTACACTTATAGTGAGGCAAAAATTCGCCGGCCACTGTATTCGCCGGCCACTGTACTGGCCAGGAAAAACAAGGGATAGCCTGATAATCATGAATTCTATGATTCAACCGATTATAATATACCGTTACAATAATGACTTTAATATATGACAAAATATGACCTAAATATTATACCAAGTTTGCACACAAATATAGAAATAGCTGTGTTGCAGCCGAACTCATGATGGCTACATGTGTTGTACCTTACAGAAATAAACCACTCTGGTCCAATTTTATGCGATATTCCGAACAAATTGGCTACTCTATACTATCGTTGATTGGGGTTTATTATCCGGCAGCATGATGTGGAGAAACAGTTTAAAGCTCACAGTCACGTGATACTAGCTAGCAGAGACACGTGATACTAGCTAGCAGAGTCACGTGATACTAGCTAGCAGAGTCACGTGATACTAGCTAGCAGAGACACGTGATACTAGCTAGCAGAGTCACGTGATACTAGCTAGCAGAGTCACGTGATACTAGCTAGCAGAGTCACGTGATACTAGCTAGCAGAGTCACGTGATACTAGCTAGCAGAGTCACGTGATACTAGCTAGCAGAGTCACGTGATACTAGCTAGTCACGTGATACTAGCTAGCAGAGTCACGTGATACTAGCTAGTCACGTGATACTAGCTAGCAGAGTCACGTGATACTAGCTAGTCACGTGACTAGCTAACAGAGTGGCGGAGTCGGGAGAGATAACAGTCAAATCATTCGACTAACCTGTGTTCCAAAGTTCCAAGAGTGGTACGGCTAGCGAGGGGAGTGATGTAAACTGAATTCTAAAATAGCCTGATTGAAAACAAATTCCAAGATTTCCCCGTATGAGATGGCGTGATTTTGAACTTGGCAGTTTTGTCATGGTCAGCATGAGCAAGTATCTCTTACGCGGTTAGTTTCTATTTAGCTCTAGAGTTTGACCTGACTTTGGAGCTAGCCAGGGAAAATAAAACGATATCCTGATAATCATAAATGTTATGATTCAACCGATGTATATGACAAAATATGACCAAGTTTTCACGATGACCAATTTGGAATTTGAAGATTTCACTATATTATGTGTAACCAACAATAAATTTGTAATCCATCGAGCCTTTAGCCGCGTTTGTCAATCACTACTCACAAAAACTTTTTCATCAGATTTGATGCAACATTAAGCCAATCCCGATTTCAAGTTATTCACCTTAATGTTTGTATATTAAATTTAAAGTCATTATTGTAACGGTATATTAGAACCAGACAGACACATAGCTCACTCCACAAGTTGCTCCACATGCACATAGTTCTTACAGCTCAGAAAATTGTCAAGTGCAGACTATAAGATAGTAGATTTAGACGACCAAGCAGATCGCACATCTGAGAGCAAGCTTAGGATAATAGGATAACAAGAAGGTTTTAGCATATCTTTTGTTCTACAGGACTCTCATACCCGGCGTTTACACGACGTTTACCTGCAGAGTGCAGTAACAATGCTATTGTTGTAGCTTTGTACTTGTAGATAAGAAGCAACTGAACAGGTGAAATATGTGCCAACAAGTCGAACACAATTTTCTCCTCAGCTGTTTTGCATATCATTTGTCATTGTCTCTGGCCTTTTGGAAGCTCATCACTCATGAAATGGACTACACTGTAGGCTGAATAGTTAAAGCCGAAAGTGAAATTGCGGTACACCTACTTTATTACCGGGCGGCGCTCAGCCTAGCCTGTCATTCCGCAGAATATATTGTATATGTTTATGAACATAATAAACTACTTTACAGTTCGACACGCACTCTAGTTCGCACTGTAGTTCCACGAACCCTAGAGTTCAACTTTATCAAATCAAAGTACGCTACCTCGACTTAAGTTCAACACGTACTCGTCAAGTTCTACAAGAGAACTTGGACTGTCGAATTAAAGTGCGCTACCTTGACTCTATATATAGTTCGACACGTAATGAAGTTCGACAGGGATGATTTCCCTAACTACCTACAACCTGTAGGTAGGTAGGTAGGTAGATAGGTAGGTAGGTAGGTAGGTAGGTAAACCTGCAACCCCTTTTGATCGCGCGCCGGCGTGCACACTTCGCCTGCACGATCGAAATTGCTCTATCCAGAGCCCTCGCGCTTGCAGTGGCGCGTTGTATCACGTCGTGACCCCCATCGTCGTTTCACTATCCCTGTAGAGTTTCTACGATACATGACAGGGGGAGCTGCGCACTCGTGCACGGCGGGTCATACAACGTATGACAAGGTCATATCACGTGATCAAAACAGTTTTCGCCAGTATTTCGGAATCAGCGTTTGAAAATACATTAATTGAAGTTAGTTCAACTGTCTCTTTTAAAACAATCTCGAAGATCGACTAGCTGTAGCAGTGATTTATCTTGATTGACGATGTCAATTCTTCGCAACTCGGCGCGGCCCGGCCCAGTAACGCATCGCGCTAAAATGATTTAGCACGCTATGGCACCTGGGCAAATTCATTAATTATTTCAAAAAGGAATGACAAATTTGAATTGTGAAAACGCTCACACACTTTTAAAAACAGTATTACGAAAATTTTCAAAATCAGAGGAAGTTTCTTTTTATCGTGCACTTCCTATAATTGGGTATTTACTATAATACTAGCATTACTATACGGATGATTTGACTTAAATTCAATTATTATTTAATAAATGGGGGATGCATGGAGCCTTCATGCTTCAGTTAGCAGCAGTTATAAGCAGCAGCAAATGGTATATAGTAGCAATTAGCAGCAATTGTCAATCAGCAGCAGTTTTTGCACTTTGGCCAACATGTGAAAAATAGTTATATCGCGTATTCACCTCAATTTGTCCTTTCTGAGAAGGATCCACTAAATATACTTCATTACAATTTAAATATTGTCACTACGCGCGCAAGCGTTTTTTGCTAAATGTTCGACACGCACTTTGTATGTTTATAACTTACCTGCTTACCAGGCTACCAGGACACGCGCCGAGTTGGACTCGTCGACGGACCTAATAAATATTATCTTTGGAACAAATATTTTACGAGTATCACCCGTTAACGTTAACACGCACTACGCGCAAAATTATTTAATTGTTATCAATGAGCACCCGCGGCTCCCGCGCGTTCATCAAAAATTTCAAACAGCCATAACTCAGCAAAATTGCGTTTGTTCTATGTTCTATGTTCTAGCTCACATTTTTTTTGCTAAATGTTCGACACGCACTTTGTATGTTTATAACTTACTTACTTACCAGGCTACCAGGACACGCGCCGAGTTGGACTCGTCGACGGACCTAATAAATATTATCTTTGGAACAAATATTTTACGAGTATCACCCGTTAACGTTAACACGCACTACGCGCAAAATTATTTAATTGTTATCAATGAGCACCCGCGGCTCCCGCGCGTTCATCAAAAATTTCAAACAGCCATAACTCAGCAAAATTGCGTTTGTTCTATGTTCTAGCTCACATTTTCATTGTATCACGTTGTGACACCCACGGTCGTCCTGACGATACAGGGGGAGCCGCGCACTCGTGCGCGGCGGGTTATACAACGTATGACAACATTTTCACACCAAATAAAGTACAATAAGATCTTATTGCCGAAAAAATATTAACATAATTACTTTAAGGGCGTAAGAGTTATAGATTGTCAAATTTTAAAATTAAACGCGCATCACAGGACACAGGAGCAAGCTAAAAGGAGCAAAGTGCAAAGAAACTGCCACAAACTGGCTGATTTATCCTTTGACATGTTTAAGTGTAGTTTGTCAACGCGAAATTTTTTGCTTTGATACCGGACAACCCTCCGGTCGCCGGCTACAAATGTAGTTGGTCAAACTTACTGGTTGACTACTCGCCATCCAGGTGGTCAGATATTTATATATGATGACCCTCCCGGCTCCACGGATGAACTCAACGAAGTAACGACGTAAGTACGTAAGTAGAGGCTATTACATGACAGGAAAAAGACGTGTTTTTTTTAACAAGTAATAATTGGACGCGTGTCTTTACTGCGCAACGCACGCCGCGCACAACTGCTACATACTGCTACAAACTGCTACAAACTGCTTCAAACTGGCACTAACTGCCACAAACTGCTACTAACTGCTGCAATCGCGCCCACGCATTCGCGCGCCTTTTCCAGCAATCAGCATGAGCAGTTAGTAGCAGTTTGTGGCAGTCAGTGCCAGTTTGTAGCAGTTAGTGCCAGTTTGTAGCAGTTTGTAGCAGTTGCGCGCTTTTTCCTGTCATGTAATAGCCTCTACTTATGTACTTACGTCGTTACTTCGTTGAGTTCATCCGTGGAGCCGGAAGGGTCATCATATATATATCTGACCACCTGGATGGCGAGTAGTCAACCAGTGAGTTTGACCAACTACATTTGTAGCCGGCGACCGGAGGGTTGTCCGGTATCAAAGCAAAAAATTTCGCGTTGACAAACTACACTTAAACATGACAAAGGATAAATCAGCCTTAGCTGTGTGAGGCACTTTGTTCCACAGCTTCAGTGCTTGAACTGCAAAAGGCCTGTCGTACAGTGACCGGTTGCGTAAGGAACTAGACTTTGACAATGAGGGTATGACAGTTACATCACTTCATGCCTAACGATGTGCTTTCGCGCTTTCCCACATTGCGGGCGCGCTTGTTTCACAAGTAAAGAAAACCGCCGGGAGGCGAGCGAGCGCCACTGCAAGCGCAAGGGCTCTGGATAGAGTAACTACATCACCGTGTCTTGGGGTCACTTTGAACTTGATATCAGTTTGGTACCTCTACTATAACATTTCGAGAAGAAAGCGGTGCGCGCTACTTCGAATAAATTTAGACGAGTAACATCCGTCAAGGAATTATATAGATTTCATAAATCCATTGTGACATTATGTGTATACTGTTTGAAAAAATTTTATTTAAAAAAATTACATATATTCAACATCTTAGCTCACCCAGCTCTATGGATCTGGACCCGACCCCTCATTGTTTCTGCGATCACTCTCGTGACAATGCGATCTTAAGGGAGACTGTTCTTGCATTCATGAGTTACTAGCTAACATTTTTATAATTTTGGTTGAAATCCTTTTCATATCACACTTTCAGGTGGATTCTGCAGAAATGTTAAAAGGCTAGTTTAATGCCAGGAATCAGCCATTTGAAATCTGAGCCCTTGATTCAAAGTCCTTCTTACCCGATCCTATTAAAAATGTTGCAATCATGATGTTAATTACTATAATTACTACTAAGCCGTTTTTTGTTTTTGTTTTGTGTATTCAATAGAGTAATTATCACAGCGGTGTGCACGAAATTGTTAATTGCAAACAAGTTTAATATCTTAAATCAATTTGGATATTCTTCTCTTTTCAGCCTCATGACCGAATTAGTGTAGTAGTGCTTGGAAAACGAAATTGTTGCAAGCACGTAATGTTACGCTTACTCAGTTGTCGAATCTTTCTTCCCAACATCCCCTTCAAACGGTGACAGAATATTTGAAATGACCTTTAAATTCAGTTAAAGCATGAAACTTGTTTCAAAGATAAATTGCAGTGTTAAAAGCTATTTAAATTAAGTAAAACAAATTTTTAGTAAAACAAAAATTAAGGAATCCTGTTAAATATTTATCCAATTGTGGTGCACATTGCATAATTTTATATTTTTATACTGATATAGTTTTTAAAAGAAAACAAACATTGTGATGCTCAAAAAAGAAAAAAAATGAAACTTGGACATGCGACAGTAACCTGTAACCAGTAATGTTTGGTCTGCTATCTGATGCATGGGTAGAAGTACCTGGCCTGGTAACTTTGTTGCCTGCACAGAACAGTTCTAACTGCACATCCACATTTTTGTTAAGGGTCGTCCTCGTTCTTTAAGTAATTATTTCTCTTAAATAAATCCTTTTTCACAATAATGTCTTACAAATTAGTTCTGTGTCTGCCTTTACGTCCCTTTTACGTTTGGCACCCTATTGTCGCAAATAGTCTCGACCTTGATAGGCTGGTGTGTTGTTGTTGCTCTGAAGCACATGTCCTAGCATGGGATGTCACTTGTTGTTCTATGATCAACAGTCACATTCTCTCAGTTTAACTGCTTATATTAATTTTGACGCTTGTTAATATTTCAGGCAAATGACTGAATCAGTTCAACAATGCTTGGAAAACGAGACTGTGGTAAGCGCAATATGTTATGCTTATTCGGTCGATTCTTACTCCCCAACATACCTAACTAGAGGTGACAAAATATTCAAGATAGATCCTGAAGAAGACATCTCAATTTCAGTTAATGAAACAATAGACATGAAACTACAATACTCGGACAGTAACTTTACTGCAGCTCAATGGGCAGCTGGTAATATGAAGGTAGGGGCTCTTTACAGTGCTTTCTCTGGAGCTGCTAGTATGGCTGTTGAGACTACTGGAGAGTCTCAGTTTCATACTGTAAGAATTGATGCTATAGGGGTGTGTACAAAGAACTGTATCACTACTAGAGGCAGCTTCAGGACTTGTCCAGAGAAGTTTCTGACAGAGGATTTCAAGTCAGCTATTCAAGAATTGACAGTGGAGGAGATAGAAACTAGAATAGGGGTGTTTTATGCAATCAGACTTCAACTTGGTGGAATGGTTAAAAGATCCTATATAATGGAGGCGACTGAAGATGACAATGAATCTAAGGTAACAGCAGAACTACAAGCTTCATTTGGTAAAGAGTGTCTCGGAGCAAGCATCGATGCTACATCAAGGTTTGAAACTGGACGTCGTTTATCTAACAGAAATGCAAAGGTCAGACGTGAGTGGAGGGCTCAGGGAGGTGATATTGATCTTTGGTTCCAACTTGGTACTAGTGGTCAAGACCAATCCCAATTTTCATCAGCTATGGACATTGCTAGAGAATGGGCTCAAACCATCGACAGTACTAATGTTTACCCATTTGATTTTGAACTGAGGCCCCTCTGGGAGCTGATCAAAGAAATCAATCCACAGAAAGCAACAGAATTCAGGTTTTATCTGGAAGACAAATGGGAAAAGGATGGAAGCAGACATCTACCTACAATGTTTCTCCCCACAAAACTGAGAGTATACCAGCTTCCTGAAGCATCTAAAACGTTCATAATAAACACATGTAAAGCTCACAAGTCTGCACTTGTTGAAGAGTGCACCAA